TATAATTCTTATAAAACATACTCAAATTATAATTCATAAAATGTTTTTATACTTTGGATACATCGAAAAACATGATATAGTCGATAGTTAAAATTTTTATATAAATGCTTTTTTTTTCTTCTTTTTTCATTTATTCTTGATAGATGATAATATAATAATTAGTATATGATCTTGTATATGTTTCACAATACTTTTTTCTGCATATGGTAGTATGTTATATTTTAAACTTTAAGTATGCTTAATATATAAATAAATATGTATGTGTATATGGATACAGTATATACTTACTATTGAAATTAAATAGTGTGTGATAGCAAAATGTAATTTTACAGTACATTACTAAATTAATTAAACTCAATTTTTGTGTTGTAAGTTTTTACATTTTTAGGTATAAGAATATTATGAATATTTAGGATTTTTCAATTTAATCAAAAGAGGAGAGAGTAACTTATATTTACGATACCAGCGATAAATGTGACATACGTGTTACAGCTCGATATGATGACGTGCAACTAAATAAGCACGTCAATTAGCTTTTTTCAATAAAACGCATGGATGCAGCGTTTTGTATACCGGCTCTATAAAATATTTTCATTTTAAATATGTAGCTGGTAATTATTACTCTAAAATGACTATATTGTTCACGATATAAAAAAAGAAAAAGGTAAAATATTGCCTAAAGTATAATAAATGACTAGAATAGATAGGACAACATTATCAAATTTTTTCCTCATAGACATAAAATGTTACAATAATCAATTTTAAAGACTCTATTATTTAATATTTACGATATAATTAAAATTATTTTAAATGTATAATACCCTGCACAAATTAATACTTTCTCAAAGAATATGTATATTTTTTATGGACCAGTAAAGTTCTTTCGTATAAGTCATGAATAAATAACATATATATTTCCAAATAAAAATGCAATGTAAAAAAAAAAATACATACACATCTTTAATTAAAGTTTAAAAGTGAAAAGAAAGCGTATTATAATAAACTTTACTTAATTATTTAATTATTTAATAACTCAATAAAACTGATTGTTGTTTCTTTTTTCTTAGATTATCTTCATAGTTTAGTATCAAAAAGTGAGGCCAAAAAAAGAATAAAGTTTTTATTAGGTCCGTTTTTATTACAGATTATTAATATTAAAGTATAATAGATGTTACTAAAAAAAGAAGAAAAATACAATTTTGTGTATCATGGTATAAATGATCTATTAAAAAACAATTATTTTAAAAAAATAATGAAAATGGAATAAAATAAATTTAATAAAACAAAATCAATGTGTAAAAAATGAAAATAATATTCTTTCAAATATCAATTATATATTATATTCCATTAAATGTAATAAATAAATATTTCAATTTCTTCTAAGATCATATATACCATGATATAAAACTACTATTTAGAATTTAATCAATTTAGCACTTAATAATGCATTTTTCAATTGTTTTTTAATGCATTCTTTATAAGTATGATTACAGCAAATAAAAAAAATATTTACATCCGCATTTTTTGAATATATTTTAAATATAATTACAAATATATATTTTAAAATAATATTCTTAAATGCGATTTTTTTTAACTCAATATTATAAACATTGTTATTTTTTCCTTACAAAAAAGATATATAAAATTTTTCTCATTACCATCGTATAAAAATAGTAGGAGATTAATTAATTAAAATGCTTCTTTATTATTGAAAAATGTACTTATAAAGAATGCTAATTTCCTCGGCTTTTCGTAATCATAATGTTTTCTCTATTGGATTATAAATAAATATGATAATAAATATGATAATAGTCATTAAAGATTCATTTAAAATCAAGTAAAAAGTTATTTATGAAAGAAATAGGAATAATTTAACTGAAATCATATGTAGAATAGTAAGTTTTTTTTATTTTATTCTTCTTTTTTCTTTTCTTTCTTTCTTTTCCTTTTTCTTTATATAATGAGATACATTATGATTACAGCAAGTCTTATAAAATTTTAGGAAAAATATTCCTAAATGATATAATATTGAATATTATAAATAATTACAACATATACTATTTTACTTATAACAATAACACAAAATATTAATTACTAAGAACATAAATTATTGTGAAAGCAACAAATTTAGCTACAAAATAGGATAATAGGAGAATAACAAAATAAATTAGCTAATACTGTGTACTAAAGAAAAAACATACAGTTGAATATTTATATAGGACTGCCCCAATTGTTGGTTTTAATGAATTTTTTTTAATGTAATTAATATTTTTACTACATAATATATGAATCTTTATATAATATAAATTTAAATACTAGAATTTGTTTTTATATATTCGTAAATTTGTTTTATTTATAATAAGCTTATCCTTATTTTAATTTAAATTATATGATTATATATTGAGTTTTCTGAATATCAATAAAATATATTTAAATAAATTTTTAAAAAACTAATTAACTATTAAAATAATATTAATATAATAAATTAGATTTCATGTAATATTGCACAAAAAACCAACAATAAGGCAGGTAAAATTGAACAATATATTTTTGACAAGTTATAATAATACAAATACAAAACGTTACATGCTCTGTTTTGTGCGAATGATTCTCCTCTTATGTTAAACATTATTAGAGCCTGAAGAGACATATTGCGATCGTTCATTTATGCACTAGTTGAACGTTACAGAGATTGCCTGTTGTTTCATTTTCTTTTAAAAGAAAGATTCGTGATCAAAGAAAGGGCAGATGATAGTTCCTAATATTGAGGAAGAATTATCTGCACATTCCAGATGGCAAAAAACATATACATAATCATTAGATTACTGTACAATAATAAAATTACGTAAAATAGTAATATGTAATAACAAAAAAAAAAAAAAAGAAAAAAAACAAATTTGCTGAATATTTATATTACAATTTATAACTAAAGATACTTGCTATAAACCTGTATCACTTTTAATCACTTGTAGTTTTGATATATGACTAATGCATTTGTTATTTAGATAATAGTAATATGAATTCCGATAAACCAAGAGTACACTGAGTAAAATTGATTTCTATTAATTGTAGAATGTGTTCTTGTTTGCAATGACTGCTCAATATTCTGAAACAAAATAATAGTAAATGTCTTTTTGTCTTTCTAATTATTATTTTCTACTATTTATCAATTTACTTCTTATTCTTCAACAACTACTTTTTAAATTTTTCATATTGTTTCTTTTTCTTTATTCTGCAAACGTGGACACATTGTTGATAATCCAATTTTATCGTGTCTCGTGTTATTGCGATTATTATGTAAACGTATACTCTTTAAAATATTTATATTATTATCAGTTAACAATACTGCAAAACTGCTTAGATTATAAATATATTATAGATTCGTGTGTATTTTGATTATGCAGATTTTAAATTGGCAATTTCTTCTTAATTAAATGATAGAATTCTTTTTCATTTTCATGATAATACACACATTCTCGATCAGACTGAAATTAATATAAAATGTGTAACGCATAAATAAATAAATAAAAAAAATCAAGTTTTATGGTACTGATATCTAAGCATTTTTGTATTAAATACGAGGTAGCAAATGGCTGTACAACTGTGATGTAATAACAATTTGATTGTAATAACAATTTCTCTTAGATCTTGTCATTCGGTATGTCGATATTTATGAAGACGTAAATATTTTGCATACAAAAACAAAAAAAAGAGAAGGCTGTAAAGTTTTAATTATGCGATCATTGATAAATCTTTGATGTGCATTTCATCATTTATAAAGGATATTGATGACTAAGAAGAACACGTTCGAATAAGATATAGCAAGCCCATAAAACTTTTGAAATCATTCTAATTAAAGTAATGTTGTAATTTTTAACTTCGTAAGTATCATAAAAAATTTTTCAATAACAAAGTTATTTTATTCGCATTATTTTGACATATCTTTTTTATCTATTTACATTTTTAAACTTTATGCATTTGAATATTCATTGTTATTAATTACTGTGATCTTTTGATTCTTGCTATAAATTATATAATTAATGCAAATGAAAAAAAATATTACTCTAATTAGATATTTTTTAATATCTAGATTAAA